TGTGGTGGCATATTAGTGTGTGCATGCATGTGAAGTGTCTTTCTCAGTTGCTTTCTACCTTATACATTAAGGCAGGGTCTCTTGCTTGCTGGAGCTTGTCGATTCAACTGTCTAGCTGGTCAGCTTGTTCTGGGGATCCCACCTCCTGCCTCCTGAGTGCTGAGATTACAGAAAGGTTGTCACATCTGCCTGGCGTTTATGTGGGTGTTGGGAATTCGAACTCTGGTCCTCATGTTTGTGCAGCAAGTGCTTTACCCACTGACTATCTCTTAAGCGCTGAAGTCTGATTGGAAATGGTAAACTCCCTCCCAGGAACATCTCTAAATGTCATCATTGGATAAGTTTTGGATGAATATGAAGCCATGAAGAACTCTGGACTCTAGTCCCTGACACTCTTAACTTGTGCATGGCCAAATCTTTTCCAGGTAGATGGGTATCCCTGTGCCTTGAGCTGTAGAAAGATGAAGGGTGACTGAGTAGGATGCCAGCCTGTGTGCTAAGGGAAGACCAGGGATATCCATGGCAAGGCCAAAAGCGTCCTACAAAATTGCTTTGAATCCACTTCAGAATACAAAGGAATGGGCTTTGGCCTGAATAATTAAATTTTTAAAAAGATTTGTTTATTTGAAAGCGGGACATGGTGGTACACGCCTTTAATTCCAGCACTTGGGAGGCAGAGGCAGGCGGATCTCTGTGAGTTTGAGGTCAGCCTGGTCTACATCTCGAGTTCCAGGTCAGCTGGGGCTACAGGGAGACCCTCTCAAAAAAGACGAAAAAAAAAAAAAAAAAAGAAAAAGATTTATTTGAGATAGGGTCTCACTATGTAGCCCTGGCTAGGGTGGAACTTGCTACATAGACCAGGCTGGCCTTGATCTCACAGAGATCCATCTGCCTCTACCTCCCAAGTGTTGGAATTAAAGGTTTATGCCACCACACCTGGCCCTTAATGTTAATTTGTTTTTATTTTATGAGTGTTTGCATGTATGTATAGCGCTTGTATGTCTGGTGCCCAGGGAGGTGTCAGATCCCCTGGAATTGGAGTTATAGACAGTTGTAAGCCATGATATGAGTGCTGGTTACCAAACCAGGCCCTCTGCAGGAGCAGTAAGTGCTCTTAACCACTAAGCCACCTCTCCAGCCCCTGTCCTAGACAATCTTAAAGCACGTAGCTAGCTTTCCTGAATGCTGGCTTCATTTCCCCCAGGGCTCTGTTAACTTTGAAGACAGGTATTTGCTAGTATACTTTCCAAGGCAGGTCACTCTGAAAAGGCACTCCAGGGTGACTACGCAACCTGTAGCAGGGATCCCATGCAAAGGGAAGCAAGAGCTGCTGCAATCAGTACAAAGTTTCACATAACTCATGTAACATAAAGGCAAGATCAAGGGAAAGTAAGACAATAAATGTGCTTAATTTTAACACTTGAAATGCTCAGGTACAACTGCATCATAAGGATGCTGAGTCAGCAAACCCGCAATGACTCACATGAAAACATCACCAGTATTGCTGTCAGTGACAAGTTTAAAGCAGGTATAACTCATGCACAAGTTGTGACCAAAGTACAGTGGAATCGTCCCTTAATTGTACGGTAGTTGTATTCTTGGAAAACTCATAATATATTAAAAATATACAAGAAAATATCTTGTTTTTCAAAAAAATGTATTTATTTATATTTTGTATGAGTTATGCTTGCATGTATGTAAGCATATCCATGTCATGCAGTGCCTGTGGAGGACAGAAGAGGGTGTTGGATTCCCTGGAACTGGAATTACAAACCATTGTTAGCTGCCATGTAGGTGCTAGGATTCAAACCCAGGTCTTCTGCAAGAACAGCCAGTGCCCTTACCAGCTGAGCCATCTCTCCAGCTCATTCCTCTTGCCCTGCTCTCTGTCATGGAACTGGCCTGGCACACTGTTTATTGACAGCCTCAGCTACAACTCTCAGCAGGACATCATTAAACTTCTGGTCCTGTTCCTGTGTGTTTTTTTCTCTCCTATAACGCCCCATTTTTCACACCTCTCAGTGCTCTAACCTTTAACATTCCAGCTCAACTCCTGGCATGCTGAGAAAACCTTCCACCAGATGTCCTCTTCCTGTCGGTACCCACACTGACAATTTAAAACAATTTAAAAACAATTTAACCAAGGGGCTGGAGAGATGGCTCAGCAGTCAAGAACACTAGTTGTTCTTGCAGAAGACCCAGGTTTGAATCCCAGCACCCACATGGCAGCTAAGAACTGGCCATAACTTCAGTCCCAGGGGATCTGACAGCCTCTTCTGACCTCTGCGAGCATCACACAACACGGGTGCACTCACCTACATGCAGGCAATACACTCATACACATAAAAAATAATAAAATAATAAAATATTTTTTAAAAAACCTATTTAACATGAAAAAAAGAAAATATGGCTGGGGATGTAGCTCAGTTGGTGAAATACTTGCCTAGTATTATGCATGAGGTCCTGTGTTCAATCCCTAGCGCCAGGGATTACACACCTGTAATCCCAGCACCAGGGAGGTGGAGTTCAACGTCATTCTCAGCTACATAGTAAGTTTGAGGCCAGTCTGTACTATGTAAGATCCTGCTTCAAAAATACATATAGTGAGTGATAGATTAAAAAGTTATACTACCAGTGTTTTTGTACAAAGAGCTCTGTAGGGAGGACCATGGACAGAGGGCTTTAAAAACAGTGTGAACCATGCTGATCTTTGTCCCACAGGGGTCTGATGGTTTGACAGCAGGTGAATTGTGCAGGCTGGTGGTGCAGTTCCTTACCCAAAGAGAATATGGGCGCTTTACCAGCACTGCCTGATACAGGTTTATTGCTGGGTATGGAAGTCCAGGGGCAATAGTCATTTTCTGTTATTTCAGTTTTGGTGTTTGTCCAGTATTTAGCTCTGGTCTTTGACCTGTGAAAATTGTTTATATATCAAAGTACTGTGAGCTATAAGAATCAAAGTCCAAGTTGGAAGCAGCATGAATCATAGGAAATGTATTAGTTCATGACACTTGTTCCAGTTTGTTTCTCCATTGCTGTAACAAAATACTCTGACCAATACCAACTTGGGGAGGAAAGGGTTTATTTTATCTTACATCTCCTGGATCACAGTTCATCACTGAGGGAGCCCAAGGAACTCAGGGCAGGAACCTGGAAGCAGGAGCTGAAGCACCAGCCATGGAGGAACTCTGCTTACTGGCTTGCTCCCCTGGCTCCTGCTCAACCTGCTTTTGTGTACAACACAGGCCCACCTGCCAGGGGTAGCACCACCCACCGTGGGCTGAGGCCACCGCCCCCATCACTCAATAATCAAAAGATGCCCCACAGACATGGCCACAGGCCAGTCCAATGGAGGCAATTCACTAGTTGAGGCTCCCACTTCCCAGGTGTGTCAAGTTGACACTAAAGCTATCCAGCATAGCACTTGAGGACCAGCAGTTAAGTAGACCCCCAAGGGTGACATACTCAGAGGTCTTAAGCTTAGGCCCCCTGTGCTTTGGGCTCTGCCTTCCTGTTGCTCAATCCTCAGGCTGGTTCTGAGATGAGTATTGAATTTTAGGTACCACCTTCATTTATAACCATGTAGAGAAGATGCTTTCTGGTGACTTCCTCTTCCCCAGGAGAAGGCTGTGAAGTCTTGGCAGACCTTCCTCTGTTGCATCAGCTGACACTGCACCCTGTTCTCACTGGCTTGCGTGGGTCTAGATTGATGAACTTGTTAATGGGGATGTGCAGGGTAAAAAATCTGTAGGCTCACTTGGACCATTTGTTTTGGAAGTGGATGGAGCTGCTCTTGGCAATTAGTGGACAAGGGTCATAGGTGTGGTATGTTCCAAAGCACTGTAACAGCTTGGCACAAGTTGTTGTACTCCCCACATGGTTCTGAGTGTTCTGTTGGACATTTGTGTGTGAAGAAAACAAAAACTTTTACAACTATCTGAGACCCTAACTCTGTTTTACAATTTTTTTTAATTTAAAAAAATTTTTAATGTATTTGAGACAGGGTCTCACTATGTATCCCTGGCTAGCCTGGCACTCACTCTGTAGATCAGGATGGCCTCAAACTCACAGAGATCCACCTGCCTCTGCCTCCCAAGTGCTGGGATTAAAGTGTACCATCATGACCAGCTCCATTTTATAGTTTATTATTTTATGTGTATGAATGTTATGCCTGCATGTGTGTAAGTGCATCCATGTTGTTCAGTAGCTATGGAGGACAGAAGACAGCACTGGGTCCCCTGGAGCTGGGGTTATGGACAGTTGTTAGCCACCATGTGGGTGCTGGGATTCAAACCTGGGTCTTCTGCAAGAATAGCTAGTGCTCTCAACCAATGAGCCATCTCTCCAGTCCTCCGTTTTATATTTTAAAGCAAGATATTTTGGGCTGGAGAGATGGATCAGTGGCTAAGAGCACTTCCTGTAGAAGACCTGAGTTTGAATCCCAGCGCCCACAGCACAGCAGCTCTCCTGGGCCTAGACGGGCTACTTACCCCTCTCTGCATCAGTTTTCTCAGATTATGAGACATGGACATTGCACTGCCCTAGGGGTCCAGGGATGAAAACAGTTGAGGGTAAGTGACCTGCCTAATTGGGAGGTGCTTAGTCATGGCAGTTATCATCACACTTAAATCTACATGAAATTCACACAAATTAGTTTCATAGCATTTATAAGCCAAACACAAATGAAAGGTCACACGTATAACAGTGTTTAAAAAGAAAAGCTTTGTTGGGTTGGCGAGATGGCTCAGTGGGTGGCACTTGCCACCAAGCCTGATGATCTAAGTTCGATACCTGGGACCCACAGGGTGGAAGGAGACTACCAACTCCAGAAAGTTGTTCTCCGACCTCCATGTGTATGCTGTGGTGTGTGGGCACCACCCCCATACACAAAATAAAGACGTAATAACATTTTTTTTAAAAAGCTTTGCTTTTTTTAAACAGTCAACTGCAATCCATTACAAAATCCTGAAATATGATACACTAAGAAAACAGATTGTGACTGAGGATTTATAAATAACATTTATTGGGTATTGCTGAATAAAGAATGCAGGGCACACAATACAAAGAAATCAGCACTTAAAAGGAAGCACAAATCTTAAAAATGCAGCATATTTACATCCACTGACCAATTTCAAATATCTATTTAGATTTACAGAGGTGAAGCTACTTCCAGAGCTTTCATTCTAAGCATACTTCAAAAGAGTTCTAGTGTTATCCATTTTAATGCCAGCTGTTTCTGTTTGTTTTATAGTTCCACCAAGCATGAGTAATTAAAAGTGAGACTTTGCAAGCTGATCCTGAAGAAGCCAGTCAGGAATTATGGAACAGTTCTTTAAGACAGGATAAAGCCACACAAAAGGAAAAGTGTCAATGCCAGATACATAAATACAGGAGAAGTTCTCAACAAGGAAAAAAAAGGCAAGTCAACAACAAGCAGGAGCACAAACGCCTTTGCTCAGGAACACAAAGCCATTAGTTCTTCACTACAATTTCCAGGTTTTGGTCAATGAACAATTATTAAGTCTTCATACTCTGTAATAACCTAAAAAACATGATTTATATATTAAAGGATTAAGAACAAAAGGAGCCTTCAAACACTACTGAGAACTGCAATGCAGTTTGGGGGCCAGATTCTGATTCACAAAACACAACCATTCTTATGGGACAGACTTCGTGACACCTAGTGCAATATCATTCAGGGCTCCTGACTCAGAAATAGCCCCCCAGTCCTGCCACTGTGGAACTGCAGAGATGGGTAGTGTTTGTTAGGATCACACATTAATGATGGTAAACCATGACGACACTGTCTTTCTTTCTATCTTGATGGCACCTCAGAATTATGGTGACAGATTGTGATAAGTTAGATTTTTCTCTACTAATTATTCTCTTGAAAGCGTTTTCTGACATTTTTCAAGATTACCTCTAAAATAAAAATGAGAGAAAACTGAGTGAGCAGAGCGAACTCTGCAAGTTGATTCTTCACAGACACGATAAGCAAATCCGTTTACAACAAACCAAAATTACCCCAAGGCAGCTAAATGTAAGATTAAATTAATCTATTTTGAAGAGAACATTGCTAATTTTCAAAAACTTTCATTTGATTAGACTCGAAAATGTTCCTCAGAAGTCAAAGTCTCTAACAGTTCTAATTTTCCATATAACTATATAAAAAAAAAAAATCAAGATCTAAGTTGAAAGGTATCACTCTCTTTCCCCTCCCCAGAAAAAGTAAATAAAAACCAAAAAAGAGGGCTCTCGAAAACAAATAAAAGCCAAGATAGCTAACAAAGCTGAATCACAGAAGAAACCAGATTGCTTTCTGGACAGGTCACTGGTCCTACGTTAGGGTTGGGTCCTCCCCACGGGGCCCTCAGCCTCTGCTGTTAGCTTCCTTTCTGGTCAATACTATGCTTTGATCACACAAGCCTAGGGGAAGGTTTCTCTCAGGAGTCAGGCTGTAACAGAGGTAGCAGGAGGATGCCGTGTGGCCAACCACAGGACAAGAGTCAAAGGAACACATCAGTCTTCTAAAAAGTAAGTGAAAATGCAGAGAGAAAATGGGTAGCCCTCACTACCTGGCTAAGAAAAATTCTAAGATCTGAGAATAGGCAGCCGAGAAACAGGCCCGGGGCTCATCTCCAGGAGCCCCTTTAATGCACCAGCTCAGGCTGGTTTTCCACAAAGGGCAGCACCCCACTCACATAGTAGGCAATGCCCAGAGACAGCAAAGCAATGACAAAGATCAAGAGCAAGACCCTCCAGAAGCCCAGATCCTCCACAAACTCTTGCCACGTGGTTCGGAAGCTGGAGAGCACTCCTTCACCTTGCTGGAGGTTGGGGTTGAGGAGAGAATGGCTTTCCATGGCACTGTGGGAGAAGGAAGAAAAGGAAGGGGCATGAAAAGACATTTCACTCACTTAAAACATGAAACTAGAGGAGCTGTTGTACTTAAGAGTAGGCTAACCTTATAATGCAACACTTACAAGAAGAAAACTAACGTGTAGATGCTCTAGCCCACACAATGTGCTGGCTTATATATTCACAGGTGTCCAGACATCTACCTTAAACCATAAACTGATAAACTATAATGATTAGATTCTTGGTTTAGTACCCAGCAGACAATAAAAATCCCAATCAAGAAGTCCTAGTGGCTCTTGCAAAGGATTTGAGCTGGGTTCCCAGCACCCACATTAGGCAGTCCACAATTGCCTGAAACTCCAGTTCTAGGGGAGCCAATGCCCTCTTGACTCAATGGACTCTGTGGGCATCTGTACTTACTTACTTACTTACTTATACACACACACACACACACACACACACACACACACACACACACACACTTAAAAATAATAAAATAAATCTTAATGGGAGTGTCTAGGGAGAGTGGGAAGGGAAGTTGAGGATGAATGGATAACCAAGAAACAGTGTACGCATGAAATTGTCAGAGTAAGTAAATAAAAATTTAAAAAAAAAAAGAAGTCCAAGGAAGAGGTCTTGAGATAGAGCAAATGCATTGTCTCCATCAAGAGAGCACACAAAAAGACATTTTATTATACATTTAGAAGATTCAAAATGTGCTGGGTATTGTGGCACAATGTCTCAAAAAGAAAGACTCAAAATGAACCTTCATAATTTGAGAATTCATGTAAATAAAAACAAGAAAAACTGAGTAAATTTTAGAAACCACTACAATACAGTATGTGGATGTGAAAGTCAAAAGGGAATTTATCTCTTAATTTCATTTAACTGTGTGCCCAGTTAAGAATTCTCTAAGTAAAATCTTCTAATAATGGAAGCTTACTCCTCAGTCTGTAGTACATGTGAAGTTGTCTTTGGACTTTTTTTTTTTTTTTAAACGTAGTGGAGGGGGTTGGTGGCATGCATGCACCTGATACCATATGAAAATCAAAGGATGACTTTTGGGAGTCACTTCTCTTTGCAACTCAGGCTTATGCAGCAGGTGCTTTTACCCACTAAGCCATCTTGCTGGCCAGGAGTTAAGATTTTTCTCCTACTAGTTTATTCATGTGTTTATCTATTTATTGATAAGGTCTCACTGTGCAGGACAGCCTTGGCAAGAACTCACTTTGCAGCTGAGGATGGCCTTGAACTCTCAATTCCCTGCTTCAAACCTCCAAGCACTGGGAATACAGGTGTGTGTCACTATGCCCAGATTTCTCCTACTTACGCTTTATCTTACACCTTAACAGAGAATGAATTTATTTTCCTTCTGCAGAGACCGAGTCTAGTTGGTAGTGTGGAGTCTATAAAACACTGACTCAGGTGTTCACAGCATTATGGTCAGCAGTGTAACTGCCACAGAAAAGCCAGGAGCCCTGCCTTCACATGTGATACGCCAAAAGCTCAAGGGATTAGCACTCAGCTATAGCACAGTTTACAGGCCAATGACAGGGTGTCATTGGGACTTTAGTTACAAAGACCATAATAGTATGTATCAACGGTCCACTGGTTACAGAAGCTCACTGCTACCCTTCTAAACCCCTTCCTTCATATTCTTCCAGCCATCTGGGTCCAGAACAATGAAAGCAGCACACAGCAATGACTGGAGGTGTGTTTACCACAAAATCCGAACACATACATACAGACTGGCAGCTTTTTATCCCACGACTAGATTTGACTTCTTGACACTGTTAAGCAAAGGTGAGTTCACCACTGCTGGAGATCTGCTCCAGGCTCCAGCAGCTGACTTCCTAACAAGTCACTGTGCTCAACACCCAAATTCTTTTTATATTAAAAAGTGTTTACACTTTGAATAAAACAAGACACTTTCAGTAAGAATTTACAATACAGAAATTTAAGAAAATTCTAGCAAGCCTATAATAAGAACTCTGAAAAGGCCTAAATAGTAAAATTAAGATAAAGAGGTTTTGCACAGGCTCAATCTGACCTATCTGAAGTTTACTATGTCTGAGCTGACATCTCACATTGACAGACATGTGAGTAAAATGAGAATTCTGTGAGCATTCTCTCTTCCTAGACAAAGTCCATGACGCTCTGTCAACTTCTGACAGATTTTATCCAGTGAAATGCTTCTTACTTACTGTCCAGGGACCAACTGACTCCAGTAGAGAGACAGGTGTGAAGCGTGGGATGTTGGGGTGTGGGTGTGGGTATAATCTGGGATTTTTTGTTTGTTTTGAGAAAGGGTCTCACTCTGTAGAACTACTGAACTTCTACCATGGCACTAAGGGACAAGAGTAAAATAGGGAAACTGACTAGCAAAACTGTTAATGATTTACTCTTTGAGGAACTTTGGCTGTCTACAAAGCTGTAAATAATACAAATTCCTATGCTGGAATCAAATGGCAGGATGTGGGAAAGTAGGGCTAAATATCTGCTACCATGCTACTCAAACAACTAATCACTTCTTAGTTAATAAGTAATTACAACAGGCAAAATAAAGCTAAAGTACTTCTAAGAGGGACCTAAACACTGGCTATTAATGTATGTCATAGTAAAGAAGCTTGGAGCTGGAAAGATGGCTCAACAGTTAAGAGTGCTCACTGTGTGATCATGAGGACTAGAGTTCAGACATCAGCACCCATGTAACATGCTGGGCATCCCACACACACCTGTAGCTCCAGCTGCAAGGGGATGGGAGGGTGGGGGCAGAAGATCACTTAGGCTTGCTGGTTTCCATCCTAGCCAAGAAAATGTGAGCCCCAGGTTCAGGGACTGTCTCAAAGGATTAAGTGGAAAGTGATAGAGGACACCTGACTCTGTCTTCTGGTTTCGGCGTTGAGTATGCAGGCATGCATACCAGCACATGCACACACACATTAAATAAATAAATAAATAAATAAATAAATAAATAAATAAACCTTTAACAGAAGCTTAAATAACATATTCTTTTATAGAAAGATGGAAATAAGTTTCAAGTTATTTTGGAACAACATATCTTTAGCAAAGAGTTAGCACTTTTAAAAATGCCTATAGCATTTGGACTATCAACCCATAGTGCAGAGATGAGGGGAAAGGGCTTGAGAATATGTGTTTAACTTCTTGTTTATTTATTTGTCAGCTTTTGGATAACTCAAGAGCTTGTATTATTTTAGAAGTAAAATTCTTCAACTTCTTTAGGATAATAATAAGTGCTTAAAGTGTGGCACACACTAGCCAGCATATGAAGGAGGAAGGCAACCATGGCTGCAGAGAACCAGATGAGGGTGAGCTGTGAAGTACTGATTCAGTGGTCCAAGTGCTCTATGTGATCCAAATGAAAGACCCGGGCAATCCAATACTAGGTCAACAGGTATATTTCCACTGAGAAATTTGGGAAGAGACTACATGTAGTAAACTTCACTGAATACTGAAAGCTGAAATCCATGGCAGCCCACAAGACTGCACTAAAATTGAAGCCAGGGCCACTGTTAAACTAGCAAGGCCAGGAGAGCAGAGGGTCTCACCATTTCAGAGTGACTTCAACCGTACCTTTTCAGAGAGACCTCAACTGTGTTCTCCCGTGTCCAGATGAAAAGCGAGGAGTTACTGAGGACCTCACCCATTACATCTTAGCTTCAGTTACTTAGAGGAGCCCAAATTTCATTACTTTTAACTTGTGTGAAAGTCATTTTTTGTTTAGTTTGTTTGTTTGAGATGGGGTCTTGCTGTGGAACGCAGACCAGCTTTGAACTTGTGGCAATCCCCCTTCCTCAGGCTCCTGAGTGCTAGTATTAACGGGCATGAGCTAGGTTTTAAAAATCACTTTCAAGAAATGATTTGTCTGTATTTAAAATTCTGTCTTCTTTCCCTCTCCTGTTTATTTCCCAGCATTCCAATTCCTCTCCCTTGAAATGACCATTTGATCTTTCTAGTGCTAGACAAGTCTCATCTTTCTTTTCCTTTGTTGAAATCCCACTCGTTTTTGTGATCTGTATTTAAAAGTTCACAATCAGTGTTTGTCTCTTCCCCAATAGAGCCAAGATGGCAAGTGGCTACCTGAATGTTGGGAGCATGTGGTCATGCTTTCTGTCAGGTTTTACAATTGTAATCTCAGCCATAAGGACCTATACCAGAGTTCAAAGACAGCATCAAAGCTCTACACTTGAAAGATCAAGTTCACAGTCACCACAAAAGACACAGAACTTACTGGCCTGCGCCTTAAAGAATTGTATCTTCAATACCTTTCACTCTCTGCAGTCTGCATCGTCTCCAGTTTTGAGTGGGTTCCTCTGTTAAATCCTTTTACCTCTTGTTCTTCCAAAGACTCCAGCAATCGGATGACATCTTTATTCACACCCCTGCGCTTTGCCAGAACTAAAGGGGTTGCACCTTGATGATTGCTAAAAAAAAAAAAAAATTCACAAAAATAAAGAGCTTTACAGCAATCACACCCACTACTAGTACCCATTTGTGTAGAACTCAGCGAAGAAAGACTAGGCCAACTAACTCAAAATTAACACCCAGAACAGAGCCAAAGTCAAACCAGAAACTGACATTTGAACTGACCTGTTTTTCTTCTGGGGAAGAGGAAAAAAAATACATAGGCAAAAGAATGAACAGGTGACAGTAAATAAAAGAAAAACAATCACACCCACTACTAGTACCCATTTGTGTAGAACTCAGCGAAGAAAGACTAGGCCAACTAACTCAAAATTAACACCCAGAACAGAGCCAAAGTCAAACCAGAAACTGACATTTGAACTGACCTGTTTTTCTTCTGGGGAAGAGGAAAAAAAATACATAGGCAAAAGAATGAACAGGTGACAGTAAATAAAAGAAAAAGTGAAAATCTTCTCAGGGATTAATTGGAAAGTATAGTTCTAGACTCAGTCTTACTTGGCACACTTTATAGGTATATATATATTTTAAATTGTGTGTGTGTGTGTGTGTAGACATATATATGGTCTAAGAGTTTTTTTAAAAAGCTGCCTTGGTCCACTGAGTTAACACACTAAAAACAGAATAACAGAAGAGAATCCTGCAGTCAGTTCCCACCCCATTCTGTCCTGCAGAACCATTTGATTCAGGTTATCACAGCCCCAATGAACGAACCAGGTCAGCAAGTAACTTTAGTTTAAAGTTCAAGCTCAATATTAAAGGTAAGTTGATATCTTTCCCACTCAGGAAATCAGGTATCATTAGGTCAAACAGAACAAAATAAAACAAAAAATCCCATGGCATCCTCAAACCATCCAGCCTAAAAAGGACTCTGGACCCAAGAGTGACAATGAGGCTGGTATGTTATGTGACAGAAAGCACAAGAGTCTGCAGTTTGGGGAACTAGGTTCAAATTCCATTGTCTTTTATAAGCTGTGTGACTTAACTATTCCTGGTAAAATGAACAGTTAGAAAAGGGAGGGTTGGAGTGAATGGGGGATATACCCAACATGCAATACTTGCATGAAAAAAACTAATAAGAAGAAACAAAGATAACAGAACAAGAGCTATTTAGTATGAGGATAAAAATGAACTCATATAAATAAACCTAGTCCACTTTGCAAAATTTCAAAAATAATACCAGTTCTTTCCCTCTGTATTTATATTATACTTTATAATTAATTATCAGAAGCTAGTCACTATTTTCACAGAAGAAAGAATGTTCAGCACAGATCTAGAAGTCAGCCTCTTGGTCCCACACTCACCTAACAAGATCTCATTGTCGCCAGTGACTTTCTGAACTTGTCATTACAACTGACCAATAAGGAAACAAGATCAATAGATGTCATGATTAGATCATTGCTTGAAAATCTAACAGTAAGAAATGACTAGACTTCAAAAATCACAAAGAACTTACCAAATATCAATCTTGAGTCCATTGGAAACTAAGAACTGGATGGTGTCCACGTGGCCACAGAGGTGGAGAGCTGTGTTCCCTTGGTAGTCCGTGGCCAGCAGATCAGCACCGAACTTATGCAGCAACTGGCAGATGTCTACATTCCCTCGGGCTGCAGCAAGGTGAAGGCCTGTCCTCCCTCTGGTGTCACGGATATTTGGGTCAAAGCCACTTTCCAAAAGCCGCTTGGAATAGTTAAAGTCTCCATCGATGCAGGCTTGTAGCAGGGGTACATTTGTCTGTGAAGAATCATTGACAAAAACGTAGGACATTGCTCTGATGTCGCGAATGGGAAACACCTGCAATGAGAGAGGAACATGCACTGGATGAAGCCAATCAGCCGGAAACGCTGTTTTGTGGCTTTCTCGGTCTCTTCTTTGTAATGAAGTACCTCACCAACAGAAACAACAGTCTCAGAATTATCAATTATATTTTCTTTTGCATTAAAAGGTTTTATTTTCTTCACATCTGCTGGATCAAAATAGCAATTAGATGACTGTAAAGCTCTATTTGACTTTTTATCATGTTAAAAAGACTGAGATTTTTTTTTTAACGATACAGTTGCTTAGACTTAAGTTCATTAGGTTGTTAGAAGACATATACATGATCATTAAACTTCAAACTAGCAACCTCTACATGCAAAGGCTATTGCTGACATTCTCATCTTATTTTTTTAATATTTTATTATTTTTATTTTATGTGTATGAGTGTATTGCTTGCATATAGGTAGGTGCACTTGTCATGCATACCCAAGGAGGTCAGAAGAGGGCGTCAGATCCCCTGAAACTGAAGTTATGGATGGTTGTTAGCTACCATGTGGGTGCTGGGAATTGAACCTGAGTTCTCTGCCAGAGCAGTCAGTTCTCTTAAACCACTAAGCTGTCTCTCCAGTCCCTCATTTTATTTTTTAAAAAGATTTTATTTTTATGTGTATGAGTGTTTTGCCTAGATGTTTCTAAGTGCACCATGTGCATGTGCTGGATTCCCTGGAACTGGAGTCAAGGATGGGTGTTAGGTGCCATATAGGTGCTGGGAACTGAACCACGGTCCTCGGCAAGAGTAGCTTGTGCTCTTAACAGCCGTACCATCTCTCCAGCCCAGACATTCTCATTTTAATACAAAATAATTTTTTCATATTCTTACTTCTTATATTTAAGATAGTCTATATCGTAAACAAAAGTACCTGCCTGAAAAGACTCACTTATCTAACTTAATCAAATACCCTAGAATGTTGTATTTGAGGCAAAAATTTTAAGATTTCATAAAAAGAGAAAAGTTGAGGGAAGTAATATATTGATTTAAAAATATTCAATCGACACAGATTATCCTTTTTATAGCCTACTCTACTGTTTGGTGGTCATCTCAATATATGACTTTGCCAAACTGAGGACTGAGAGGTGAGTAAAGAAGTCCTTCCTTGGGCAGGCGGGAAGGTAGGGGCAGGCAGAGCAGCACCAGGCCATTGTACCTTCCAGCTCCCTGTGTGCCAGCTACACGTCCTCATGCACAAGTGCCTCAGCTCTCAAGACAATTTGCTTTACAAGATCTCTACTCTTTCCCTTGATTCATTTTAGAAAATAAAGTTTATCTAAAGAAATTTTTTTATGGGCTGGAGAGATGACTCAGCAGTTAAAAGCACTGGCTGTTCTGGCAGAAGACCTGGGTTTGAATTCTAGCACCCACATGGTAGCTAATAACTGTCCATAACTCCAGTTCCAAGGGATCTGACAGCTTCTTCTGTCCCCTACAGGCACTATACAACACGGGTACACTTACACACATGCAGGCATAACACTCATAACACATAAAATAAAAATAAATTTAAAAAAATTTTAAAAGAAACTTTTCTAAGAAACTGGTGAGAAAATATAAAGGCAGGGACAGGGTATTTATAGATTTATAGGGAAGACTCTTCAGAAAAACATTTTGTTTATTTACTTATTTATTGAGGGGGGAGAGAGAGAGAGAGATCATGTGCAAAGCATGCACACGCCTTGGTGCATGTGCAGAAGTCAGAGGACAACCTGCAGGAGTTAGTTCTCTCTTTCTACCATGTGGATCCCAGGCACCAAACTCAGATCATCAGGCTTGGCAGCAAGCACCTTTATCTACTAAGCCATCTCACTAGTCTAAGCCAGGCATCAACTGGGGATTTTTATTCCATTTTACCTAGTCCTAGCACCTCCAAGGTAAGTTTTATTATCACTGAATTTCTGTGAGAGTCCTTAGAGGACTTTAAGCCAAGGAGGTGGCATGATCTTGTTGGTCTTTCAGAATGATGACTTGCATAGAAATATGGAGGGCTGAACTGGAGAGGGAAAGTCTAGGAGCAGATGATCAGTCAGTAGGACAGAAGGCACAGCATGAGGAAAGCTTGACCTAACACAGTGACAGGGGAGGGGACATCCTAGGGAGGGATGCAGATACAACCACTGAGTGGTACTACTATAGGGTGAGCAGGAGGTGGTAAGGATACTTTCAAATAAAAGGGAAATCTGCTCATGGTTAAGAGTTACAGAGGACAAGATGAAATAACTTCTGATTATAACAGAGGTATGATTTGGGGTTTGTTTGACACAGGGTCTGGCTATGCATGCAGCTCATGCTGGCCTCAAACTGATGATCTACCTCCTGCCTTAACCACCATGGCCTGCTCGAAATAATGATTTTTTTTTAATTAACTCTATCTGAAGATTTACTTAATAAAGTAGCTCACAATTCTTCTTTGAGGGCATGGTGTTTTGTTTGTTTGGCTTTTTTTCTTTCTGAGACAGGGTCTCCCTGTAGCCCCAGCTACACTACTCACTGAGATACACCTGCTTCTGCCTCCCAAGTGCCTGGATTAAAGGCGTGTACCACTACTCCCAACGAGGACAAGATCTTTACGCCCCCTCCGACCCCGCCCCCCAGCCATTCCCTACAGTATTCACTGGATTGGAGTACAAAAAAGAAAAAGCCATCGCAAACTGTTTCAAAAATAAAATCCTACATACTGAGTGCTTTCCAAGAGGTAACATGTGTGAGGTGAATTCTAGAAACGATACTAAAGGCCAGTCTACTTGGTGTTTGGATTAAAACAGAACGCTCATAGCTGCCAGACTAGGATTTTCTGAAGACATTCAGGCTTGGTAAGAACACAGCCTTCCTTTTCTGCTCTGAGTTGAGGGGTGAAGTTAGTTGGCTTCTCTGTCCTTGAGGACCTGCTCACCTCACTCACAGTTAAGAACCCACTGACAGACATTGGTCAGACAAGTGCACCTGCCCAAGACTACGGCTCACTGAAGGTTCACACACCGTGAAGGAGTCTGCAGCAGAAAACACGTAAGCTGCAAGATTAGATCTTTCCTTCAGTCGTCACCCAGAACGTTATCTGAGTTCTTAACAAGGTTCAACAACAACAACAAAAAATCAGTAATGTACTAGCAAGTATCTACAATGAAAAGAGACCAGTTCCAACCAAAGCGCTGCAGGAGAAAGAAGGCACTGTTCTGTTATGCACAAGCAGGTCACCAGGCTTGTGGGCATTCTCCAGAACACCTGAGGAGAGTCAGCAAAGTGACTGACAGGCAACCAGGCAAAGAAAAGAATGAGGGGTGTGAGATGGAGCTACACCCACTGACAAGAAAGCTCAGACAGAAAAGAATCAAATACCTGTCACTGACAGGGAAGAAACTAAACTGAAAAGTCACTCAGTCACTGGAGTTCTAAATGCTTATTTTTCACAATGAAAATAGAGGCTAAGCTCAAACTTAGTTCATTAAAAAAAGAATTTTTAGTTGATTTATTTTTGCAGGGCCAAAGATTTCAAACGTGGGCCTTGCATAAGCCAGGCCTGTGATCTACTATTTAGCTACATCCTTGGTCTCCCACAAACACATTCTTAGAAATAAAACACTATCCATAAAGAGGGAAATGTTAAGAAAAAAAAAGCCCAAATGTATACTTGCATCTAACAGGATCTACTTTATGACAGTATTTCTAATCCATTTTGAACACTAACACCCATCCTTCCCCTTCTCAGCAGCAGCCTTCCCTGCACTGCCTGGCCTTGCTCCTTGTGGGAGACAGGCTTGAGCCTAGGTTGAAAGTCTTACTGACAGCCATACAGCAGGCCTGAGGCAACAGCCTGACCCCTGGAGCCACAAGGAACACCTTGTGACATTTTGCTCCCATTGGAAGATCATGAGACTGATGCCTAGAGCTTTCCACTCCCTAATCATCACCCTTGGAATCAAGGTATCCTACTTGCTGTACTGTGATAGGATGCTAAATCTGTTATGCTAATAAGGTATCCTACTTGCTGTGCTGTGATTGGACCACTTCCCTATAAGCTTGTGCCTTCCTGCAATAAAGCAGATCTGTGTCACTGAACTAGTCTCCTGCATCTCAATGTGGTGAAGCTGGCGCAGACTCCTCACCAGCCCAGCTGGACCGGATCAGAGGAACTGAGAGAGCAGGAGAGCAGCCATAGCCGGAGGAGAGCAGCCACAGCCGGCGGCCACAGCTCCTCAATCATGTCGCCCACCCTCAGGCTTCCCCTGGGCCCATTTGGGTGGTCTCTCTGTGCATCAGTGCACTGTCTGTCCACTCAAGTCTTATCTTGCAGAACCTTGGAAGTAGGATGATGGGCAGCCAGTGTCAATCACGAAAAGGCAGTGTTTATTCATTGAACAAACATTTACTGCATGCCTGAAATGCACCATGATAAGTTGGCATTTAAAGTCCAAATCCCAGGTTCATGGTTAAGTTGAAACTACTGTTGAACTTTCACTGGTCATTTATGCTATTATCCAATATCTTTAAATAAACCTACAGAGAAACAATTCATAGGCTTTAGTGAAGCTTTACTCATAGTATGCACATCAGGCTGTCACAGAAAAGCTGTCAGTGCTGGGCTAGAGCTGCGGATGTTGGCTGACAAGCTGATGTGAGGACCATTCCCACAGAGACTCAATAAATATCACAAAGATGTGATAATGCACAATATCCCCAGTTGATTCTGTTGCTCCCTAGCTGCCTGTGATTCCATAGCATCAATGTAGACAAATTTCCTATCACTCAACCACTTAATTCGACTTTCTTAGGCAACTACTGTGAATTCATCCAAAGCCTAGTACTTTCCCTTTCTTACTGTGACCACTACGGCATAATCTTCACAATTATCCCTTTTTTGTAGTACAAGCCAGGCGTTCATTTTTAAAATATGAAGGTGTAAGGGAAGATTATTATAACAACTTCATTTATGAAAGAACAAGTCTGCTTTCCATTTGGAGGTAGAAGTACAAATCATATAATTATA